GGAACATTTAATTCAAGGCAGAGCAGAAGACTGGTATCTGTGTGTGTGCGCACACACCTGTGTCCTCATATCAGTCCACTATCGCTGTCTGAGTAAGACAGGCTTTAAATGAATAGTGCCCTGGAATGGGGATGGACGTAATTGCAAATCAAATTGGTTTTGGAATTAGTTGTTCCAATTACATACTTAATAGAAACCAAGGAATGACCAGCACAGGCAGAGGCCAGAGTATTAATACATTTTGTCACCGAGAAATGAAGAAACTGCTCTCAGTGACGGGAGCAAGCAGAGCCCCCCTCCCCCCTCCCCTACGGACCACTGGTCAATTGCCATGGCCACCTGACTTTCATTAGCTTTTCAACAGAAGCTACTTCTTTACAGTTTATGGCCTTATGTTCGGAAGAGAATGATTTCAGAGAGCTGCTGTCCTTTGAAATAACATCGTGAACAGAAATTGCATCGTTTTTAGAAGCTAATAAACATCTTGATGACTTTTTTGAGTGCTTAATGGAGTTGTGTTGAATAACATTACAATTTTGATCAGTATTACTGATTAAAAATTACATTTAATATCCTCTCTGTGCACCCTAGTGGCTTTCCAGGTAAAAAACAACTCTGAATAATATTGTCAACCTGTCTTAAAGTACATTTATTTGAAAAAAGATTAATACCACAGTTCCAATATTAATTTCATCCAGTGTCATCCTGCTATGACCATAAATGCAATCCTGAATAGACTCTGACTCTGACATAGATAGTTTTAATTATCTGTCTCATTTAAGGAAAACAACATTTTCTTAATAAGAATCATTATGCTGGCTCAATATTAGCACATTGATCTTGACACTCTAACCTCTCAGATTTTTCATATCGATTTTCATATTCACTTTTTAATTTACGGTTTACCAAGAATTTTTTCTGCAGGAATTAGAGGAAGAGTTCATCTATAAATGACAATTTTGTTCTTGTTAGCTCCCCTTAAAGTGGTCATATGATGTTGCTAAAAAGAAAATTATTTGGTGTATTTGGTGTAATGAAATGTGTTTATGCGGTTTAAGGTTCAAAAAACACATTATTTTCCACATACTGTACATTATTGTTTCTCCTCTATGCCCCGCCTTTCTGAAACACGTCGATTTTTATAAAGCTCATCGGTCTGAAAAGCGAGGTGTGCTGTGATTGGCCAGCTATCCAGTGCGTTGTGATTGGCTGAATACCTCAAGCGTGTGACGGAAATGTTACGCCCCTTACCATACTGTGATGCCCTGTCCGGCCGGAGCGACGAGACAAAAACATTAAAACCCATTATAAACGAGGCATTTGTTGCATCCAGTGGGGACATAATTACGGATTATGATGACTTATACTGTCTTTTTACGCATTGCATCGCGCCGCGTAAACATACAAACAACAAAACACAATCTCTACTCTACACTGCTCAAAACTCGCGTTTGAATCGTCAGTGGCAAATTCTTTAAATATAAAAAACGTACTTA